TCCATTTCCACCGGCAACCACTTGGCCACTTGTTGCACCTCGTTTCCATTCCACAATACGATGATTTGATTGATCAGCAACATAGATTGTTTGATCATCATCAACATACAAACCCAATGGGTCTGAGAGTTGATTGATTCCATTGCCTCGTCGATTTCCTCCAGCCACAGTGATACCATTTTGTTGCCATCGAGCATTCGGATGAATGTTGGTGCTGGATGGAGAACGTAATGGATAATCTAAAATAGAGACAAGAAAAATTATTAAAATAAGAGAGCGAAGTGTTTTATTCATAGAAATTGGATTTGCGAGAAGACGAGAAATAGTTTTTTAGTCAAACTCTCAACTTTGTCAGCAACAACTGTTTTAGTTTAAAATGGTACTTTGTTGAATTCAAAGTTATTCATTGTAATATTTTCAGTCAATCATGCATTATTGCTTTATTTCGCTCTCAGATGTCATCACTCCTATTCTTTTCGAGCATAAATTACAATGAAATAGAGAGTTATGCTTATGATCTATTTTGTAAGACCGTAAAAATAAAGAATCTTTTCGTTGAAAGCTGAATAATCATGTTGAACAAAGATCAATTCCGCAGAGATTGCTGTAGAATAACAGTACAATGGTACTTTTGATTTGCAATTCAAATACCTTACATTATTTCTGTTTTTTATTCGTCAACTACTTTTTATTGGATCGTCTTAGATAGTTTAGAAAATACGAACTTATGATATTTTTCATATTACTTACAATTACATTATCATCAGAAAACGATCTTAGAAAGGAATTAATTACATTGGCCACTGAGTAGAGTGACTTTTTTACAGTTTATGTACAGATCAAAATGGATCAACACTCCTACAAATTAGATCACGATGAACAATGAATAAATCTGATTTCTTTAGTTTCACTTGATTTACGACTTCGAAAGATATTTGCCGGAAGTTTAATTTGTTTGCCTCACATTCAGAGTCCATTATCTATTAGTCATTAGAAGATATTCATCTATTCATCTAGCTCAGTTTCTGAAACTTTTTTCATTGATTAGAGCTGGAATCAAACTGAATTAGTTCAGTTTTGGACTTTGATTGTGAAAGAGGTCAAATTTTCTGAACACAAAAAATGAATAATTAGCAAAGTAGAATATATCTTTTCTTTTCTTCATATTTCACATAAACATACGACTAGCATGGATTTATTTTCATAATCAACTTGCATTTGGAGAAATTCTATTTCGAAAATAAATAAATTAAAAAAAGTCATACTATGTGATTATATCTTGTATAATGAAAGTTCTATTTAAAAGTTTCAACTAAATTAATCTATTTAGTGTAATAGAAAAATAGCTAACATTTGATTGACGAAGAGTTAAGAAAAAGAGTTTATTTACATGTTGAGGTCATTGAAATGGAACAAGAAAAGATAAAATTCAATTTTCAATAGTATTGATATAGTTGAAAATATACAAAAGTGTATTTGTCTTGATGGTATAGTTTTATCATAGCTATTCTTGGACAGTCGTAATACGAGTTTAGAAATTCTTGCCATCAGTGTTGAAAGATAATATGCAAACATGATAAGAAGAAGCATTAAATTTCATATTTTCTTGATTGCTACCGAAGATAATACTGACAATG